TGTTGGTGCCAGGTGCCGTCTGTAAAACATTTTGTACTGGTTTTCCTTGTATGCAACTGATAGTGTCGTTTTCAAATTTATTCCCCAAAATGTTTCCGATTTGTCTAATTCAATATTATAGCCAAAGTTCTGTGCCCATTTTATCATTTGTTCTTTCACAATTTCCTCTTCCATTTTATACCTCAGGAGGAATTTATCAACTATCAACCTATCAACTTTTGTCTTCTAGTAACATTGAAAGGAGTGGCTAGAGAAGGGAGGTGCAAATCAACAACATATATGCCAATATTATTTGTGGGGATTTAAAAACAGGGAACTTTCACGTCAGGCAAGATCTCACAGTCTAGGTGTCTCAGACTGATATATTGTTATATGGGAATTGGGTACGTCTAGTCTAGTGAAAAGAAGGACTAGGGGTGATATTATAGTAGTGTTCCATTATTTGAGGGGCTGCCACAAAGAAGAAGGGGTCAAGCTATTTTTCCAAAGCACCAGAAGACAAAACAAGAAGCAATGGATGGAAACTATTCAAGAATAGAAGCAACCTAGAATGAAGGAGAAATTTCCTAACAGTGAGAACAATTAACCTGCATTCAGAGGTTGTGGGTGCTCCATCACTGGAGGCTTTTAAGAAGAGATTGGACAGCCACTTGTCTGGAAAAAATATAAGGGGTTCCTGCTTGGGCAGGTGATTGGACTAGAAGATTTCCAAGATCCCGTCCACATCTGTTATTCTGTTAAATTCAGATGAGAATTTCCTAGAATGTTGTATTCACAATTAATTTCAACAAAGTTTGTTGTGTGAATCACCTTTGGTGAGATGAGCAGTTATATAAATTTGATTCATTAATGAATAAACAAAACTCTACCCACCCACCCCTTCAACAACGTATTGCCCCTTTAGACACTTAGTATGGGAATCCTTTGCACTTGCCAATGCTCCAGAAAATCTTACTGCAACAACAACAAAAACGAAATTTTTTGAAAGAATCTAAAATAATCATTTCATCATCTCTTCTAAATACTTCCTGTATTTCCACATGAACTATTCACATACATTTCCAAACATATTATCATTAAAAATCTAATGCAGTTTTTAAAAATCGCATTGGTATCTAATCTTGCTTCCTGTTCCAGAATCCGGGAGTTCCTTTTTTTAAATGTCAGAATGGTGAAATATTTACTCATGAGAACTCAACTGTGATTTAAAACACACATGTTGTGTTTTAGCTACACTATGTAGCTACACTATGTAACTACGTATAAACAATCTCTGCTTGCTTTATGGAATTATAAAACCTGAAGGTGGATCATGACATTCCTGGACCACCATTAAGGTTGTTATTACAATAATTAATTATAATTGTTTGTAATAATTAATAAAGCTATGTGTTTGCCTGGCATTTATTATGTGTTTACCTCTGGATCAGGAGCTGTACAGTCATTACCAAATGTCCAGCTAAGGGCCAGTTTGCTTAACATTACTAAGTGTCTGAGAAAAGTTGCTTTGTCCATTTCTACCCCAGCCAACAGAAAAACAAAACATCAGCAAGTTTGGAAATGCAACCTCCCGATTATGCCTGACAGGCCTATGATAGCTCTTTACCCCATTTAGTAACTTCACTGTTAATTTCTTGTCTGTTCCACACCAGTCCAGATTTCAAAAAAGTGGGTATGTTTTATTTTTATAATAATATAGTTGCTTCTTTAAACCTTCTGCTTGACTAGCCTCACCCATGCTGGCCCGGTAGCAACGCATGAAGAGACTTGCGCTGTTTCAGCTTTAAAAAAAACCCGGCTAGGAGTTCCCCCTTCCTCTGCTTAAGAGCCCTGAAAAATACACAAGCAATACCAAGTAAACGGGACTCACCTTTGAGAGCAAACATGAGACCTCTGGCAGGATAAAGAACTAGTAACTGTTAAGAAAGAGCTATGATAAATTATATCCAAGGAATCCTTCCATACTTCCTGAAATAGAGACCGTGGAAGGCCTTGTTTTAAACTGGAGCAATATGGCAGATAAAAGGGAAACTAAACCCCTAAACAAGATGTATTTACTTTAGAATGTAAACATCAGAAGGTTTGTTAGGATTTTGAGGGTGGGGTGGGGTGTTTGCCTGTATCCTGATTATACTCCTTGGAGGAAGAAAAGCTGCCCTGTCTATGTACAGGACTGAGAACCAGCAGGGGGCTGTGCTTGGTGGATTTCTCCTCCAATAATCCACAGCACAATTGTTCCAGAGGAACCCTGTGCCTTCCCAAGCACAGGAGGCTATGATCATGCTGAGGATTATGAGCATGGTATGCCATCATATGTTGTTGAGCAAGAAACATGTGGGGCATTTCCAAATTATTATTTAAGACACTAATTTTCCATCCCGGCCTAAAGATATTGCTAGTAGAAAATTGGCTGTCCAAAGTGATGGCCCTGGCTTTCATTCACTGCAACTCATGCTCAACAATCACTATAACCACACTGCTTTTGTCCTCTAGTTTTATCATATCCTATTTCAGCAAATTACTATTCAATGGGACAGCATTTAGAAATCAGGGCACTGCGGTATGGATGGTGCCATGCTTCAGATCTCAAGTTGAAAAGGTCTTAGTGTGGGTAAGGAATTTAGGGCGTGTTAATTTTTTTCTACTTTCAATTTCCAAACATTAAAGGTGCTCATAAGTTGTGACGTGCCTTGGAGATTGTGAAGATATTTTTGTTAGTGTAATATAATTTAGATGTGCTTGGTAAGTAACTACATAAATATCATAACTTTTAAACATTTTGTTTGTTTCATTTAGCATGCTGTACCACTCAGGACCTTTGTCAAGAAGCTATAAGTTTTCCCGGCCTTGCAAAAAAAAGCAGGGCAATAAGCTGGAAAAATGCTTAATTGAATTAAAGAGGCACTCATATTTACGAGATAAAGATGCAGATCTCTAGCTTAGTGTAGAAGCTAAAATTGCAAAGGTGTCCAGTGTTGGAAGCAGGATCTTTAAAAAAATGAATAGTTCAAACGTGGGATTTCTAAAAAAAATAATTAAAAATATAATTTCTAAATGCCAAAGATGCAGTGACCAATCCACATTTCAATTTATATTATGTCCTGCAACAAGCAGCAAAAAAATATTTATACCCTTTCACACAAATACAGTTATATACTCCCCAAGACCCGATATAATAAAAACTATGTTTTCTGGGATTGTCCAAAGCAGGGGTGGTCAACCTGGTCCCTACTGCCCACTGGTGGGTGTTCCAGCTTTCATGGTGGGTGGTAGGGGTTTGCTGTAACTCTGCTTTATAAATTTTATAAAGTAAAGTTACTTCCCTACTTTATAAATCACCATTACTATGGAACCGGTGGGCGGTTAGAAAACTACTAACAGAGATACAAAAGTGGGCGGTAGGTATAAAAAGGTTGACTACCCCTGGTCCAAAGAATGTAAAAGTAGGAAGAAGTAGACAGCAATCTCCAATGGTTACAGAATTCAGGAATCCCAGACTTTTTCTCAACAAAGAGAAACCGCTGGTGGAAATGGAGGGGAAGATGCAACTTTCCTGTGAGTGCTCATCAATAAACCCTTTCAGGCAAATTAATTTTGTCCATTGACCTGGGTAATTAAGTTTTTTCAGGAAACAGAGCTCTAGGAAACCAATTGACAGTAGCCACAAAATTGGAGAAGGAGGCAGAGTCTGTACTTCTTCCTTCCAAAACATGAGAGACTAGGCTCTGTTTTTGGCAGGAGAGAGAGGAGAAGTTCCTGATGCGGAGTGGTGAGGATTTGAGGCCCAAGTTATGAGTTTTGCATGCTGAGGAATCAAATGTTCTGATGTCCTGCACTGTGGTTCTGAAGCCAGCCCAATTTCCCAAGATTACAGGAAATGGGGATGCTACATAAAGTGGCAGTCTTTGCTGTGGTGAGAAGGGGAGATTCAATGCACTCTGTGATGAGCCTTGGTCAGAAGAGTCAACCGGCAAGAGTCTCAGCTCTACAGGTCTTAAGTGCTTGGCTTGCAAAAGGCCATTTCCTCCCATAAGTGCAAAGGCATAAGACAGATCATTAGACCAAATGCAAATTTGACTTGAAATCAGCCCAAAGGAAAATCCTCCACTCTTAGGAATAGACGTGTGCTTAAAAATGGGGTGTGTGTGTGTGTGTGTGTGCATAGGGAAGATAGTTACAGAAATTAGGAGGAGAAAATGGGTATAGGTTGCAGGTATCTAATTCTTACTTTAACATAGAGGGAGGGGGGGGACTTCTTAAGGACAAGATTTTTATGACAGTGGAATAGTCTACATATGGAAGTTGTGGGTTCTCATCTCTGGAGATTTTTAAGAAGAGTTGGAGAAGTCACTTCTCAAGACTGGATTAAATGGCTTCTACAGACTACAGAGGGATGAACTAGAGCAAATCTGCCAGGATTTTTCACAGTCAGGGAAAGTGGTTGCTGATATTTCTGCCATGTCAGCAGAAGTAGCAACTACAACAGTGAACAGATATTGGTCTGGAATTGATACAGAAACTGTCCCACACTCTAATGCATCATCTAAGCTAACTGGTCAGTTGGGCTGCAGTTTGAGTCCTGATACCGGAGCAAGGAAATGGTTAGCTGATTCGTGTTTATGGAGTTACAACAGGATCTGCAGGCATTGTTCAATCTCGAGTGTTGAACCAAAAGCTTTCCTCCCGCAGCGTTGGAAAGAGGAGGAGGCACATCATGCTGTCAGATTTCACCCCAGATATGACAAGAGAATCTCAAGTCTCCAGAGACTCGGTTCCTCAGTCAGGAACTTGTTTACAACACAAGCATCATGGATATGGTGGAGGCTTATGGAAAATCCAGAAATAAAGCTGGTCTGGTCTTCCTGCCTTTTCGAGTCAATGAATTTTCGGCAGTTTTTCCAGCAAGGGGAATGAGCTTGATCTGCTTATTGTTGACACAATCTTACTCAAGCAACACTGGTTCTTGCCCCACCTTTCTCAAGAAAGGCTTTAAGATCTATGCCCGTGATCTTACCTGCCATTCTGCTGGGTGATTACCTAAGCTTGTAAATGTACAGTATATTGCTACCAAAGACAAGGAAATAGCTAATCTGCTAGAAGCTTTGCATATATAATTAAAAAGGAGGGAAAAAACCCTCTTGACAATATCACCTTTAGATTATTTTCTTACACTATGTTCTAACAGTTTTTGTAAATCCGTTCTGGGAAAGGGCCAAGTGAAGAAATCCTTTGGCACACAACAATAGCAATAGCACTTAGACTTATGCAGCAACTCATAATGCTTTACAACACACTCTGGGTGGTTTACAGAGCCAGCATATTGCCCCCAATAATCTGGTTCCTCATTTCATTGACCTCAGAAGGATGGAAGGCTGAGTCAATCTTGAGCCGCTCAGGATTGAACTCCAGGCTATG